GGAATGGACTCTTCTTTATGTGACTTCTCGATTGTTAGTGATACAAATTGGGATTTATATTGTTTACTGTTCCATTTATGCCGTCAGAAATATTACACTACATTTATATATATCTAATTAGGTTAATTAAGTAAGTTTTAATTGAGTAAGTCTAAGTAATTTAGAGAGTTACTTTTATTGACAATTAAGGCTAAAGATTTGGTTTTTAGTCAGGATGGATACACGATATAAATGAATTAGTTAGCTACGAATGTTAAAGAGTATTACCACAGCATAAGACAACATAAATCAACATAAATCAACATAAATCAACATAAATCACCATAAATCAATACCATAAATCAATATAAATTAACAGGGGTAAATAAATTGGAGAAATTCAGAAATTCTCAGAATAACTAAATAGAAGCCTACCTTGTATGCTAAGAAAGTAAATATCATATTGAACAAAAATTAGACATTTTGATTTGCTGGTAATCCATCGAATTGAATACAAGTTGAAGACGAATTGGATGCAAGTTGAAGACGAATTGAATACAAGTTGAAGACGAATCAAATACGACGGATCAAATGCGAATTAAACAAATACAAATCGACAGTTGAAGATTCATTTTTCATTCAATCCAATTAATCATTGCAAATTATCGTAATTTTAGTCGTACTGGATAACAAGCAATCGTTAACTGTTAATTGGTTATTCTAAAAAAAAAGAATACAGTGCAAATACAGTATAAATACAGTATAAATACAGTACAGACACATTGTAACATTTTTTGATCACGGTGCATGTTTGGAGAACGACATATTCAAAAAGTTATCTGCAAGTTTTATTAATTTATATCATCGTTACAAACATGGACGGATTAAGGTGACTAGTTAATTTTCAAAGTTAATCATGTTATAATTATATTCTAATTATTTTAATTGGTTTTTCGTTTTATAAATAAATATCTTATAATAAATATATACTGTATATTTTATGGATCTGATGTGGTCAGGCTAACATTTATCGTTATCTACATACGTACGTACGTACGTACGTATATACGTATATGGCTGGAAAACTTTGGTCACATGAAGTAACAAGTGAAGCGAGTGCGTAGGCGTGACGCCTCAAATAATCCAAACACTAATATAATGATAATAATAATAATAATAAATAATAATAAATACGTAATCAAATTTATATTGATATTATTATCGTTATTATGGATATATTATTTTCATGTATGATTATTATTATGTACGTACGTATACATATTATTGTAATATGTATATATAACTAAAATATATCTCAAAAAAAAGTATAAGATACGTATAAAATACTTCTTATATCTGATATATTAATAACTATATATATATACAATTATTATTAATTAAATTATTATTAAGTATTATTAAGTATTATTAATACAGTAACGATAATTACTAGCATTTTTTTTGAGCTACACATATTTCAAAAATTTTAAATTTATTTACAGTATAACGATAACGATAATACGTAATGTAATTGAATTGAGCAGGATTAGAGTTAAAAAAAATAGTGGAATCCAATAATCTGGGTTGTAATAAGCCACATTAAAGTAACATTAAAGTAACAGTAAAGTAACATTAAAGTAAATATTTAGATACATAATTTTTGTTTTTTTAAGTTTACATCATTTGGTATTTGTGATATACATTATAATTCCTTTCTTTGTATCAATTCTTTCTTAATAAGGTATCATGAAAAAAAAAAACCTGCATAAGAGATTTTAAGGTGCGATCCTAATCATGCAGGTTTGTTAGTCATTGACTCCCATTTCAGATAAATAAGGCGGGAAAGTGCCGACTTATTCAATATGTTGGGTATGTTAGGTCCGTTTTAAATACGTACGTACGTACGTACGTACCAAAATGACAGCTTACCAAAAGGTTACAATTACGTATTACGTTTTGTCAGGTCAGCCGATATGTAATATTTTTTATAAACGGTGGATCCAGCCCTAAATTTGGAATTTTCATTATTGGTCTTCTTTAGAAACATATAAATCATTTATATATATCAATCATATGTTTATTATATATTTATATTATGTATTTATTATATCAGATATCAATACCAATACGTATACGTATTGATTATTTATTGGGAATTTTTAGGCATTTATACTTTTTCAGAATACTCATTAAAAAAAATCCTTAATCTGATTCTGCCTTCCAACTTCTTTTTTTAATATCTGGTTTTCCTCCTTTCATTACGACTTTTCATTACGACTTTGGTATTTTACTACATCTGGTTATATTAATTTTTTTTTTTTACAAATAATTATGTCTGAATGTAGTAATAAATTTTTTTGATGACCATCCACATCTTTTATAATACGTTCTATTATTAGTAATTTTTGTTTTTAATTTTCTGAACAAATTATTGTGATTTTATCTATTGTATTTTGTACCGCGTTAGTCAAATATGTTCGGAATGCGTTGTAAATGGTATGTTTATAAAAAAATCGGTTGCATTTATTTATATCTATGATGCGTAATGCTATCAGACTAAAGAGACAACAATGTTAGTAGACAAATCAGTATTTGTCTGTAAACCTGCATACGTATGAGAACCTTTTTTTACCTTAGCGTGTTGTTATGATTATCATTATACTGTATATAATTATAAATAATATATAGTTATTTAGTTATATAGCTATGTGGTTTTATAGCTATGTAATTATGTATATAGTTATGTAGTTATGTATATAGTTATGTAGTTATGTATATAGTTATGTAGTTATGTATATAGTTATGTAGTTATGTTATGTAGTTATGTATATAGCTATGTATATAATTATGTCGTTAGTTATACGGGTTTTTCTGAGTTTATTTTTATTTTTTATTTCAAAATCTCTCCACACAACAAGCACATGGGTACACCACCATTTATAGATTATGTTGTTATCTGCTTGCCTTTTCTGTGGTTTGCTGTATGTTGACCTACCCTACTGTAAGTATCTGTTGACTGTTGTTGGTATTTTTTTTTTTTTCGTTTTTCTGTTACGTATTTATGTATTGCTTTTGGACATATGACGCACAAAAAGGCATTTGCTTGTGATGTTCATACTTTATATACCCTTATGCTTCTTCTAATTTCACTAGATTTCTATATAAGCTCTCTGCTATCTATCAAGACCCCTTTTCTTCATCACCCGGTTTCCTTCGGTTCAATTTTTTTTTTTTTTAAAAGTGTTTCAAGTCCATCGAAGAACAGTTTGATCATTGATCGACGAGACGTATATAATAAAAAAAAAAAAAAATTTTTTTTTTAAAATTTAAAAATTTAAAAAACAATAAAAGAATTACAAAAATAGGTGAGGATACAATGAATATCAATTTTTTTTTATTATTAAAATTAGATAATACTACTACTACGGTAATCTAGTAAAAAAGACGGATATTTATGGGCCGTTGACTAATATGTCCATACTTTTAGTTAAATTAATAATATCTTCAAATTTATCCTAATTAAGAATGGTTAAAAAAAAATTATATATATAAATACTACTTGAAACCGAGGACTGAAAAATGCGCCCAATGTTTCAAACTTTCCCTCCGTCTGTGGAATTTCTGAATTGACCTAAACCATATATTCTTGAATTTCGTTTACTTTATTTATTTTTAAATTTTTTTTTTTTTCTCTTTTATTATTTCTGGGCTGCCCGGGTCTCTCGTACTCCCTGTTGTGAATAGGTCCTCAAACTTGTGTAAATTTAATTATAGCTCTATAAAGACCTTTTTGAAAAAAAAAAAATCGGACCTTACGCGTCTTTGTATAAATATTAGATTCGGCGATTAATTTTTTTTTCGGTTCTGGTATTTCTGGTATTGTAAAGCTTTTTTTTTTTTTTTTTTTTTGTTTTAGTCTAACCAAATTTATTCCATTTCGATTTGTCATTGTTGTCAATTTTATCAATTTCGAATTCTTTTACCGAATACTAAAATTACCATTATAATTTTTGCATTTATTTAAATTCAATTTCCAACTCCCAATTTATCATATCTTTTGATCAATCAAGGGTTCCCTTTAACGACAACGACAACAACGACAAATTTACGACTTATATCAGCTCTTTGAATACGACAAAAACAATTTTTCAACGAATCTTTTTTATTTCAAGACGGACTTTAAAAGAAAAAAAAAAAAAAAATTGAACTAGTAGTATTTTATACCGGAGAGACCCTATCTATATATTATCAGTACCAGTTTAATTAATAATAGTTAAGAAAAAAAAAATTCAAGAATTACGAACATGATGTGGAATCGAATCAAAAATATGTCAGTCAGCAGCTTACCAAAATCAGATGACACAAACAAAAATAATAAAAGTAATATAATATCAAAGACTCTAAAAAAAGCTGTATCTATGGATTCGTTGCATAAAAAACCTTCAGGATACGTAAAAAAAAGAAACGTAAGCCTTGATGTAAATTTATCTTGTAGTGGCAATTGGTTTACGACGAATAATTCAAATGATCATAAGGTAACTAACCATTCTAAGTTAATACATGTTAATTTGTTTAGTTGGTCACATGAACAAAAGTATTTTTTAATAATAATAAATAATAATTATTATTATTGAAAGTTTATATATCGATATATTTTAATTATTATTGAAGTTTTATATCGATATGTTTTAATTATTATTGAAGTTTATATATCGATATACTCTAATTTTATTCTTTTTAAATTTCATATTAAAATAATTAGCTACCGACAAATGAGCGACAATCGTCAGATTTACACGATGAAACCTTTGTGGTTGCGTTGATCGGTAAACCATCGGTGGGAAAATCAACAATAGTTAGAACGGGTTTGAATAATTTGGCGCCAATAAGGAATGTTGGTGTGGAACAAAATATATTACATGGTAATTATATGATTCACATGTTATGATCCTAATCCTAATGATATATGATTCTATGAATTCTGTAATTCTGTTGATTGTTGACTCTCTTTATTTTTTATCATGCTGTTAGCTCCGACTCTTATAACAGAGATTGAAGTTGATGATCGTGCTTATCCAGTGGAAGTTTTAGAAATTCAAGAAAGTGTTTTTGATATGAAAGCTCCATTACGATGGCCAAAGGTAATTAATCACTTTTATATATATTTATCTACATATATTTATTTGCATATATTTATCTGCATATATTTATCTGCATATACTTATCATGTATAATCTTTTTAACTCGTGTTTACACAGGAGCTTCCCGAGATCGATGGAATTTTAGTATGCTATGATGTAACTTCACGGGCGTCAATAGCGAATATAGCGTGGCTTCTGAGTATGTTTTCATCTCGCTCTCTTGCTTGCTTGCTTGTTACTTGCCTACTTATTAATATTTTTTTTTTTTTTACTTATTCACATCAATTACATCATCATCAATTAATCATCAATTAATCAAATTAATCATCAATTACATTGTTAATTACATCATTTATCATTTAAAGATGCATTCAAAGAATTCCAAATTCCCACGATACTTGTCGCTAATAAGGCGGACTGTGATCCTACAAAACGTCAAGTAGATACTGAATATGGTGTAAAATTGGCCCCGCTATTCGATGTCGGTTTTGTGGAATTAGATACCAGATCAAATAATGGAATACAAAGAATTCATAATGTTTTTTCGATGCTTTTAAAGTTATCGATAAGGAATCGTGAATTTATTAAAGGCCGTCATAATAGTCAAGAAATTAAATCAGATGATTTATCTTCTGATTTTATGTGTATACAAAGTATTGGTAGTGATGTGGATTCTGAAAAACTTTCAAGTCATAGGAGGACTTCTAGTGATCTAAGTCATGAATCAAGAGGCCGTGGAAGATTTTCGAATTTCTCTGCTGTTCGATATATGAAATCAAGATATCGCAGTAAATTTGGTTCTAAAGGTGAATCAAGGAAATGTAAATATTCTTTTAAATTAATTAAATATTTCTAAAATATTCTAAATTAATTAAATATTTCCAAATTTATTTATTTATTTATTTATTTCTAAATTTATTTTATCAATTTTTGCTTTTTTCATAGCCCGTTCTCCTTTAAACAGAGTCAGTAGTGATGATGAAGGTTCATCTTCAACACGTTCAAATCATCGTTCATTGTCACGTTCTCCATTTTCTTCATCCCCATCTGTATCCGCAACTCCGTCAAATACTCCTCCGAAATCATCTGTCCTATCACAAGTATCCCTTCCTTCGTTTCCTATAATTAGTAATAAATCCTCTCATTCCGATCGAAGCTCTTATCGTCGATCTTTTCTTCCTTCGTCTACTTTATTACAAGTAATGGAAGCTGAAGAAGAAAAAGATATTGTTATCGTAAGAACTGGTCATAGTAGAACATCATGTGGGAGTTATGATTCTACTGCTAGTTCTGTTAGTGCAATAAGTGATAATTCTTGGGAAGGTTTATTTGTTAATGATCCATTAAGTCATAACAAATGTACTGGGTATGCTTATTATTTTTTTTCTATCGTCACGTGATATGTGATTTTGTTTTTTGTTAAAAAAATGTTTTAATTAATAGAAGTCGTGGTGATGGATTGACTATAGATGAATTAATTCAAAGATTAACAGTTGGAGGTCAATATGGTACACATGGTAAGAATTCAATCAATAAGTCCGAAGGAATTTGATTGGCTGATTGAAACAATGGACACGACCAGCCAATCAAAATTCCATAATTTGCAGACGCGCACACAAAATTCTACTAAATTAGATAATTGAGATTTATCAATTTTACTCACAATTTTATTTATTACTATTTTATTATTATATTATTACTGGTATTTTAGATGACCCATTTACCATAACATTCTTTGTTGTTTATCGTGCATTTATGAGACCTCGAGATGTCCTTATTAAATTAATGAAAAGGTTAATATTTTTTATAATATATCATTTATTTATCGGTTAATATTTTTTATAATATATCATTTATTTATCTTTTTATATGCAAATAATTAACCAACATTACTTTATAATTACAGATTCGAGGAGTGCCAACATGATTCGGGAGATAGGAGAAATAAAACACATGAGAAAATATGTAATCTGTTATATCATTGGATAACACAACATCCACATGATCTTATTCATCATCAAACACGGCAATTGATGCGTGAATTCTTTGAAACCATATCAAATTGTTCACATCTTTCATATTATGCTATAATTCTTGATCCTTTGATTAATGGAACCATACCTGAAGATGATCCTGACATGTTTTGGGGTTTTGTGGACACTACTGATGAGAAACTCATCAAACATGATGTGGAACATAAAAATATGAACTCTACAATAATTCCACATGCAAAGAAAGATAGTGGTTTTGGTGGTTGGACTTATTTTGATAGTCGTGATAATCTTCAATTTAGTCGTGATAATCATCAATCTGATTTATCCCTCTCGGTTCAACAAGCTAATAATCGTACGAGTAGTCAACCTCTTCAAAAATCTTCGTTAATAATTGTCCCTGATAGCTCTATAGGAAGGCCTATGAGTCAATTAACTTTTGATGAGTTACCCGAAAAGGCGATCGCCAATGAGCTAACTTTCCAAGAATTTCAGCTATTTAAAAAAATTTCTGTAAGAATTGTTGTATAACTCGTCTCATTTTTTATTACTTTTATAATATACTAATTTTATTCTATTTATAGGGTAGAGATTTGTTGAGACATATTTGGACACCACAAGGAAGCATCCAACGTG